AAGACACCCATTTGTAACAAAACCCCTTTCTATAAGGCTGTGTGGCAAACATTTTGTACATCACATTATACTTGTTATATAAAGGGAAGTTAACTTAATTTAAGATGGATCTTTACAGCAAGAACCCTCAAAACAAAAAGCTGTACAATGAGGGAGTGATATTGAAGAACAATAAATGCCAAATCTATCACTTTTATAAGGTAGTTTTTCATAATTTTGAATGATTTTAGATAGATAATAAGAAATATGCCAAAGGTGGAAAATTGGTCTAAAAAGTTCTATACAAAGAGAACTATAGATTATTTGAGAATTATGATACCACAGCCAAATTGTTTAGGTCTCAGCTTTGGCTTTCCCCAAAAGAATACTCTGATGATAAATGGTATTGGAGGGAGAGAAAAGAACAAAACACTACAGTTCTTTCACCAAGAATAACACGATTAGTTCTTCATTACTTCATAGCAGCAGCTGGTTCTAAGCAGGCACCATTCTGATAAATGGTACTGTAGTACACAGTGGGCACATCCACACGTTCATTAATGCGCCACAGTTACTGTGCATTTACTTTTGTACTTGGCTAACCGACTACTAAATCAATTCACAGTAACTCATGCTGCTGCACAGTAGTGCTGGTGCATGGGTTTTTAGTGACAATTACTGCGCAGTAGCCTAATACTACTGCACAGTAGCATATTATATCATTGTTTTTGCCTGGCATGCTGCTGTGCATTGTTATTAGGCTACTGCACAATTAGCATCTCGTGTGGCTGCTCCCACTATGTAGTGAACCAGAAAGAGCCCTTTTTGCTTTTTAGTGGTAGAAACATGTTCACAAGAGACAGAAGAAAAGTAAAAAAAAGTTAATCTCTTCTTTATTAAGATCTAAAGACCCATGTCTATGGCAATGCTGGAAGTAAAATTCCCTCTAAACTCAATGGGAATCTTGTACTGAAATTTTGCAATCCTGGGGTTTTAAAGAGCATATCAGAAACAATGAAGGAGAAAACTTGTGGAGAAAAGCAGTTGAGTGTATTGTTTTCAATAAAGGTCTATTTATACATACTATTTTATTTGTCAGGGGGAAAGGAATAGGCCCAAATTAAAAACATTTTGGGGAAAACTAAAAATCCAGACCTGTTTTTATATGAATTTTGCTAATGACTACAATGTTCATAGTAGGCTGAACCAAAACACTCAATTCAAATACTGTTAAACTACTCCCAGATAACTGAAGCCAGATAAACTGACTTCAGTCCTCCTCTAGGCAAGATATTATACTTGCCCCCAGCTTAAAGAATAGCTTGTATAAATTGAATGTTACTTAACTACAAAAAGACAGAAGGATTTAGTTTTCTAACTTTATACTCATACATCTTTTTCTCCAGGGAACATGTGTATAAGAAGAAGAAAGCACTTGTATGAGACAGATTCATATCTTTACATGTTACAGTGGCTTGTGAGATGGCTTGTGGAGTATTTGAATTTTTTTGAATTTGCAAGGTAATGGCTCTGCTACCAGGAAGAGGAAACTTATGCTATTAGCTAGTGCAGAAGTGCGAATCAAGTGGCAGAATTATCTTATTATAGTCTCCTATGTGGATGGTGCTCAACATTGGCCTCTGATACCTCTCATAAATGCTACCCATATATCCTGAGCTGTTAGCATCTACTTACACTCAAGTGGATGAGGAAAGGCACACACCAGAATCAAATATCAATATGAAACTAGTACATTTAAACTCTTCCTCCCCAAACAGCACCACTGCTGGAAGACTAAAAAACTCCACTAGTTGCCCCAAATGCATATTGAAAGGGACCTGCATGGTAAAGGAGCTGAACCTAGATGAGAATCTTTTTACCCTTTCCCCACAGTGAGACCCTGATAGGAACAGAAGAAATAATTCATTAATGTAGACTGAACTTTTCTGACAAAGGAATGTAGAAAATATGTAGAACAGAGAAGACCACTAGTAAGTGATACTAGAGAGAACCCTATTTAACATTAATATATTGGAAAAGCTGCCCTATAACAATTTGCTGGTTTGAAAACTATCCCAGTTGAAGGGACGCAGTCATCCCATAGGTACTGTGCTGTGTTCTGCACAAATGAGGGCTGGGATTTACCAAGGGTAAGAGCAATCTGAAGGCTGGCTATCTTAAATCAGTTGCCAGCATGACCCATTCTGGGAGCTGGGAATCAGGCAGGCAGCCTTAGGGACACCGTGGATATGTGTCTCCAACAGTGGCTGAGAGGGAATACCATGGTAGCTCTGCACCACTGGGAGATTAAGGTAGATTGGGCAAGTTCTTCATTTGGCCACCTTGGCCATGTTTATGTTCCATTGGTGCTGCCCAAAGTAGGTTAACAGGCTGTAGAGCCTGACAGAGTACATCAAAGATGCCAGGTGCACATTTACCCACCCTTTCTTTACTAAAACATACTTGCTGAATTTTTATTCTGAGGAAAGATGACTTGTAACTTGCCTCATGATTTTTGGTGCATTTTCACAGGCATGTTCTTCTTAGGGATTCTTGTGTAGGGCTCAGTTTGCTGTTCTCATACTCTGTGTGCACACATCTGAATGTATGCATTCCAACACCAAATTTGCTGCCCATTTGATCTAAGCGGCACCTACAGCCTCGCCATGCACATGTGTGCAAATGTACATTTACCCAAAGCCTACAAATTATTTAAGGATTCTGAAGTTAATAGATCCAGGGACTACACAAGTGCTAGACTAGATTACTTTGGACACTTGCATTCATTCTTGGCATTTCTGGGAACAGTCCTAACAGGACCTACCACCTCTCATTCAAACAAACAAAAAAAAAAGAGATACATTGAGCAGAACAGAGGCAGCAGAGCAGAGCCGAGTCTATGCAATTCATTCTTCAATAGAATTGCCCTTCTGACATGGTACAACTGTTTCACTAGTTGTGATGGACACAATTCCAGATTTGACTAAATCAGACATCAGTCAGTTCTGGATAAAAAGTTACAGTTACTTGACATACTTACTCTCCCCTATGGAAATACCTTGTGTTTCAGCCTTGCTACAATTCAGTCTTCATAAGATATTTTTTTACCATGAAGGTTTCCTTGAAAAGAACACAGCTTTTTTCATAAAAGATGGCAATATTTACTACTTTTTACTTCTAAAATAGTGCTGCATATTGGTATAGAGGTACCTATGCATCCTACTCTTGTCTACTCATATTCAGTTCACATCAGGGAATGCATGCATTTTTACTTCAGTTACCAAGTTGTACATGTACAGCATGGACATGTAGTCCTTTCATGAATTTTTTTGGGGCCTTTTCTAGCATAAGTAGAACTAGTCTTTGTTTGGCAACATTATTTTAAAAAGCTGCCATAATTGGTGTTTACATTAAATTCTAAGGCTCCTTAAAATAAAGTATAAAGTGAGATGCATGTTACCTGCAAT